CGAGTAGCCCCCGTCCAAAACGGGAGAGGAAACTCCCGGGATATCTGGTGGACTATGAGCACAACCTAACTGAGCCACCCAACCCATCTAGAGCTCCAAGTAGTTCCAGTAGCTCTGACAATGAAGAGGAAGGGAGATGGCAGAGGATGGAATCCGCATGGAACAGTGTCCTCCAAACCATGAATCACCTTCAAGCGTCTATGGAGGACACTCATGGAACATTACTGAAGCGGGTGGAGCGTTTGGAGCAAGCTTCACAACCTAGCAGTGAGGTGATACATCGCACCATAGAGCCACTACCTGTACCAGAGCAGGACACCACAACACCTGCGAACATGCTGACGCCAGTGAAGGCATCTGCTCCATCACCTCCTCGTAAAGTGAGTTTTCACACTCAGCCAGTGCTTCACCCTGCCACTTATGTAGCTGCATCAACGCCACTCAGGAGACTTGGACGATGCACCGCTACACCCTTCGTGTACCAGAGATCGGAACATCATCTCCTTATAAACCGGCCAGGCCAGGTGCAGATATCACATCACGCAGCCTCAGCTAATCAGCCAAGACAACGTGCTTATCATGCAGTACAGCAGCTATCACAGGCTGGGGATCCAGTGAGTCTGCAGCAGACGTTACATCCAGCTGCTCCCGTCTTCCAAGCCAGACCTCCAGCTAATCCTGTGTACTTGCAGCAACCACCGCGTCCTGCTGATCCGACCTACCAACTTCCACGTCCACCAGAACCTGTGACCCAGCCATCACAGTGGGCAGACGCTCAGCACCCTGTATCCAACATATTGCATCCTGAAGCTTTGCCTGATCCAGCTGGCAACCACCACGTTCCCGACCCGTCAGGAAGTGACTATTCATCATCTTCCTCTGCTGGACAATATAATCCATGGGTTGCCACATCTGAATCAGCCAGAGCGCCTCTACCAAACCTGATGGAGATGATGGTGGCATCTTCATATGGTATTCCAAAGCCTAGGCTGGTGGTCTTCAGGACGGGCAGAGAGAGTGACTTCGCCTTATTAAAGAAAGGGCTGGACAGCACCTTAGGGCCACATTCTCATCTGGGAGAAGATTACAAGTTTCAGGTCCTATTAGATCATCTAGAGTATCCCAGCGCCCTACAGGTAGCCAAGCGCTACATCCACGACCGCAGTCCCTATACTAGTGCAATGAGGGCGCTAGAGCAGAGGTATGGACAGCCAAGGCAGTTAGTCCAAAGTGAGCTTAGCACTATATTGAACTGCCCCCCTATTAGAACAGGAGACTCTCAAGCTATTGAGGACCTGTCCCTGTCCGTGTCCAGCCTGGTCGGGCTTCTCAGTACCATGGATGAAGTAGCAGCCAGTGAGCTTCATTGTGGTTCACATGTGGACAGACTGATTACCAAACTCCCCCTGAACTACAGAGACAGCTTCATCGAGTACTGTATTACCCGGGGGATCATCCGCACTGGCAGCAGCCGAACATACAATATGTACGACTTCTCAGAATGGCTTGAACGGAAATCCCAAGTCCTTCAGCTATCCAGACAAGCCTCTCACATGCCCTCTGACAGGCCACGCCCAGAGAAGAACCTACTCAAAGCCTTAGCAGGGCCCAAGTCACACAGCAAATCTGCTTCCATCTACTACGGCCCAAATCCAGCCCAAGCCAAGCTAAGACCAGGGGGAGGATCTACAGCTCCCAATCTGACAGTCCAACCTAAGAAGAGACAGAAGTTCAAACCTTATTGTCCATACTGTGAAGGGACAGAGCATTATCTGAATGGCTGTGATGGATTTAAAGGGCTAGACCTCAAAGCTATGGCTACCTGGATTACTGAGAAGGCCAAATGCTGGCGCTGTGGCCGTAAACATTCTCCAGAGCAGTGTACTCTAAAGAAGCCGTGCAGCACCTGTGGTGACCAGCATTTGTCTGTGCTCCATGACCTGGTTGAGGCCAAGAAGCGGGACCCTAACATACTAACTGTGAGTACTAGTATGGTTTACCTAGACTATTCAAGTCACTCAGGTCGAGTCATGCTTAAAGTAGTACCAATTCAACTACATCATGGTGGCAAATCTCTGGACACATTTGCTGTGCTTGATGACGGCTCAGAAAAGACTGTTGTGCTTCCTGCGGCAGTTGAATCTCTAGGTTTGGAGCAGGAGGAAGCAACACTCGCACTGCGAACTATCCGTCGAGATGTAATCCAGATGAAGGGAGGCTTTGTCTCATTTCAGGTGTCACCGAGAGCTAAGCCCAAAGTGAGGTACAAAGTAACACATGCATTCACAGCCGACCAGCTGAGTCTAGCTACTCAGTCATGTCCAGCTGAACAGCTGAAGAAGAAGTATCTTCACTTGCAGAAAGTCCAGATCAAAGGATTTAACCAGGTCCAACCGCTGGTGCTACTTGGCTCAGATAATGCTCATCTCATCACCCCTGTCCGTCCTGTCCTTAGGGGGTCATCTAAAGGGCCAGTAGCCGTCTGCACCAAGCTCGGATGGGCCATCCAGGGGCCAGCCAGTAGTATGCCTACATCTGAGGGGGAGCTGCAGTGCCTGAACATGTGTCTTTCTCCTGCAGAGGCCCTGCATCAAGATGTGAAGCGTTTGTGGCAACTAGATGTTCCCCCCTATAGGACAGAGAAGGAGGTCACACGGTCAAAGGAGGACAGAGAGGCAGTGGCTACGTTGGAAACAAAGACCCTCAGAGTCCCAGTAGATGGTGTCGAGAGATATGCCACTCCTCTACTGAGAAGAAGAGACTTTCCACGTCTGTGTGTCTCCCCTGAAGCAGTAAAGGGCCTCCTCAGATCTACTGAACGTAAGCTGGCCAAGAACCCTGATCTGACCCATACATACAACCAGGAGATCCACAGGTTAGTAGAGTCTGGCTATGTTGCTAAGCTGAGCCCAGATGAGACACATAGCTCTTCTGAGTCATGGTATGTACCGCACCACATAGTACATCACAACAATAAGGCTAGAGTGGTCTTCAACTGTTCGTTTGAGTTTCAGGGGTCCGTCCTGAACCGCTGCCTCTTACCAGGACCTCCCATGGGGCCCACTCTGCTGGGGGTATTACTCCGCTTCCGTCAACACCCTGTAGCCGTGAGTGGAGATATCAAAGCCATGTTTCATCAGGTTCGGCTGCTCCCAGAGGATTGTCCCCTGCTACGGTTTCTGTGGAGGGATTGTGAAACGGATCGGCCCCCAGACATATATGAGTGGAGAGTTTTGCCCTTCGGAACGACATGTAGCCCCTGCTGTGCTACGTTCGCCCTACAGAGACATGCTAGGGAGCACAAAGAAACCCACAAAGACATCTGTGACTCAGTCCACACAGCCTTCTACGTGGATAATTGTTTACAGTCTCTGTTCAACCCAGAAGAAGCAAAACAGCTCATCGACCGGATGAGAGATTTACTCATTCAGGGAGGATTTGATATACGACAGTGGGCGAGCAACGTGCCCGAAGTAGTTGCTCACCTGCCCGCTTCAGCTCGATCAGAGAGCTGTGAACTTTGGCTGAACTTCAAAGGTCTCGACTCACAAGAGTCAACTTTAGGACTTAGCTGGCACTGTCCGACAGATGTCCTGGGATATAAGCACCGCCCTATCACCTACTCCACGGTCACGCTGCGCAATGTGTACAAGGTACTAGCTACCCAGTATGACCCACTAGGTTATATTTGTCCCTACACTACAAGGGCCAAGCTGATTGTACAGGCCCTGTGGAGCACAGAAAGAGGGTGGGATGAGCCCATCGAAGGGAATCTACTTCAGTCCTGGCTTGAGTGGGAAGGCGAACTGTCACACATTCAGCATGTCACCATTCCCCGTTGCTACGCTCCTCCTCATAACTCCAGCAATGTGACATACGAAGCTCACGTATTCTGTGACGCATCGGAAAAGGCTTATGGGGCTGTGGCTTATCTCAGGGTAATTGAGCGGCAACGGCCCATCATCACATCATTCCTGATGGCTCGCTCCAGAGTGGCCCCACGCAAGCAGGTGTCAATGCCCCGGTTGGAGCTTTGCGCAGCACTCACAGGAGCCCAATTGGCCAGATTACTCCAGACAGAGCTTACTGTTCCCATACAGTCGATTTACCTGTGGACAGACTCTACCACGGTGCTGCAGTGGATCCAATCTAGTTCCTGTCGCTATAAGGTATTTGTGGGGACTCGAATCTGTGCAATACAGGAGCTGACATCTCCTGAACAGTGGCGATATGTGACCTCTGAGCTCAATCCTGCTGATGACATCACCAGAGGGAAACATCTCGCTGACCTAACAGCCCCCAATCGTTGGTCACATGGTCCACCTTTCCTATTACAAGCCGCTGACACTTGGCCTAAGCTGCCAACAGAGTTTCCAGCCTGCAATGAAGCAGAGCTCAGGAGGACTGCATTCTGTGGGCACGCTTCTGTATCCCCAACCTTGCCGGATCCAATGCAGTATGCCTCACTAGATAAGCTGATTGCTGCTACGTACCGGACCCTACACGGGGCGGCCGACACTCCTATTACAGCCGCGGAGCGACTGGAAACCAAGACCATGCTGCTCCGCTCAGCTCAGACCGACAGCTTCACAGAGGAGACCAAAGCCCTCCAGACCAGTCGCCCAGTCCGCTCAGACAGCCGTCTTAGCACGCTGTCCCCTGAATATGACAGTCTTACTGGTCTCATCAGAGTCGGAGGCCGCCTTCGTCAAGCCGCAGACTTAGATCCAGACAGTATTCATCCCATCGTACTAGCAGCTGAACATCCCCTGACCAAGCTCATCATAAGGACTTATGATGACCAGCTCCTTCACCCAGGTGCAGAGAGGCTATTTGCGGAGATAAGGCGCACCTATTGGATTCTCAGAGGACGTCAAGCCATTAAGAAACACCAGCACCAGTGTGTGGACTGTAGGAGATGGCGCGCCACACCTTCTACACCCAAGATGGCTGATTTACCTTCCTCACGGATGAGACTCTATAAACCCCGTTCGGGTCAACGGGCGTAGACTGTTTCGGGCCATACACGATAAAGATAGGTCGTAGAAGAGAGAAACGCTGGGGAATTATCTACAAGTGTCTTACAACTAGATGTGTGCATCTCGATCTCCTCCCTAGTCTTGACACCGATTCCTTCCTTATGTCATTACGCAGATTTATCGCACGCAGAGGAAAGCCATACGAGATGTGGTCTGATCAAGGAACCAATTTCAGAGGTGGTCATAGAGAACTCCAAGCAGCGTTTGAAAACATGGAGCCTGACCTCAAGCAGCAACTAGCCACGCAGGCTATCAACTTCTGCTTCAATCCCCCACACTCGCCTCATTTCGGAGGAGCCTGGGAAAGGGAAATCAGAGCAGTGAAGTCAGCTCTGCAAGTAGTCCTGAAGGACCAAGTTGTGGCAGAAGAAGTCCTACTCACAGCTCTCATAGAGGTTGAGGGCATTTTGAACTCAAAACCGCTTGGCTATGCATCGGCTGACATAGCCGACCCAGATCCCATCACACCAAATCTTCTCTTGATGGGGCGGCGTGATTCGGCACTACCCCAGGCAGTCTACGGCCCCTCAGGCACTCTTTCGACCAGAAGATGGATACACAGCCAGGTCATCAGTGACCACTTCTGGAAGCGGTTCATACAGAACTACCTCCCAGGACTGCAACTCCGACAGAAATGGAGGAAGTCCACTGACAACATGACCGTGGGACAAGCTGTTATGATTGTAGACTCTAATCTACCTAGAGGCCTCTGGCCTGTGGGTACCATTTCCCAAGTTTTCCCAGGGACTGATGGTGTTGGTCGGGCTGCCGAAGTCAAGGTTAAAGACAGTCTCTATGTTCCCCCGGTTACTAAGCTAGTGGGACTCCCCAAAGTCCCTGAGGACTTAGATGATACTGTTCTGCAATAGCTTGACTTTAGCATGTGTGTATTTGTATCCATACAAATACAGGGGCGGCTGTTAAAAGTCCGCTTTCCAGAGGAAAAATGTTTGTGAACACCGTTTAGACTACATTACCCATGATGCTTCTCGGTATCTGTACTTCCCGTTGGGAACGTGTTCAGCGCAGTTCAGCACAGCTGAAAGGTGTTGGATGATCAGCGTTTTTCTCGTGCGTTCCTGTGTGAGTTACCCTTGGTGTGCGTGTTTATCATGTGAGTATTATAAGATGAGATTGATGCTTATTTGACTTTATCTGTGAGTTGCTCTGTGTAAATCACTAAGTAAGAAGCTAGTCCTGTTGCTAAGTTGCAGGTTTTGTTGGCCTACTTCAGGCAGCCTTGGTTGCAACTTATATGGCATTCCATATACGACTCACTGTCAAGTATGGTGGTTGGAGGTGGATAGAACTATTTTCTGTGTTTATTATCTGACCTGTAGAGATACTGTTTGCTAATGCATATACGAACAAGAAATTCATGTATGGTCTTAGGGTGGCATCTAGTGGCCATGAGGTTTATAGCAGATCATATAACTTCATGCTGGAAACCCACAGTGCTGTATAAGCGGTACACTGCTATCCATACTAATGGTTGTTCTTTCTGTTAACAGATTACCACACCCACATACTCCTGCACACTCACACTCCCTTTACCTGCATTCATAGATGGGAATGCAATTGCCTCACCACTAATGTTGTACAGCCTGTTGATGTCATCTGCTACCTCTTTAATAAAACTACTTGGACTACATCACTGTGGAGTGCCAATCCTTCTGACAGAGGACAACTCAGTTGAAGCGTGATCGGCAATCAGTGCAAACATTCAGTACACCCGTACCCGCTGGTGGACACCAGAGGTTCGGGGAGCCGTCAGGCTGAAGAAGGAGGCCTACAGGGCGTGGCTGGTCTGTGGGTCTCCGGAGGCAGCAGACAGGTACCGGATAGTCAAGCGGGGTGCAGCAGTGGCAGTTGCCGAGGCAAAATCTCGGGCGTGGGAGGAGTTTGGTGAGGCCATGGAGAAAGACTATCGATTGGCTCCAAAGAGGTTCTGGCAAACTGTCCGGCGCCTCAGGAGAGGAAGGCAGCAACTCGCTCACACTGTTTACAGTGGGGATGGGGAGCTGCTGACGTCAACTGAGGCTATAGTCGGACGGTGGAAGGAATACTTTGAGGAGCTCCTCAATCCCACCAATGCGCATTCCGAGGAGGAACCAGAGCTGGGAGGCCTGGGGATGGACTGTCCGATCTCGGGGGCAGAAGTTGCTGAGGTAGTCAAACAACTACACAGCGGCGGAGCCCCGGGGGCGGATGAGGTTCGTCCTGGGTATCTCAAGGCTATGGATGTTGTAGGGCTGTCATGGTTGACACGTCTCTACAACATTGCGTGGTCATCGGGGGCAGTTCCTAGGGAGTGGCAGACCGGGGTGGTGGTCCCCATCTTTAAGAAGGGTGACCTGAGGGTGTGTTCCAACTATAGGGGGATCACACTCCTCAGCCTCCCTGGAAAGGTCTACGCCAAGGTACTGGAGAGGAGGGTCCGATCGATAGTTGAATCTCAGATAGAGGAGGAGCAATGTGGTTTTCATCCTGGCCGTGGAACTGTGGACCAGCTCTATACCCTTGCAAGGGTGATGGAGGGGGCATGGGAGTTTGCCCAACCAATCCACATGTGCTTTGTGGATTTGGAGAAGGCTTATGACCGTGTCCCCAGGGGCACCCTGTGGGGGACGCTCCAGGAGTATGGGGTGGGTGGCTTTCTGTTAAGGGCCATTCAGTCCCTTTACCAGAGGAGCGTGAGTTTGGTCCGCATAGCCGGTAGTAAGTCGGACCTGTTCCCAGTGAGGGTTGGACTCCGCCAGGGCTGCCCTTTGTCACCGGTTCTGTTCATCACTTTTATGGACAGAATTTCTAGACGCAGCCGTGGTGTGGAGTGTGTCGAGTTTGGTGGCAGGAGAATCTCGTCTCTGCTTTTTGCGGATGATGTGGTCCTCCTAGCTTCATCCGGCTCTGACCTTCAGCTCTTGCTGGGTAGGTTCGCGGCCGAATGTGAAGCGGCTGGGATGAGGATCAGCACCTCCAAATCTGAGACCATGGTTCTCGACCGGAAAAGGGTGGCTTGCCACCTCCGGGTCGGGGGAGAGGTCCTACCTCAAGTGGAGGAGTTTAAGTATCTCGGGGTCTTGTTCACGAGTGAGGGTAGGAGGGATCGGGAGATCAACAGGCGGATTGGTTCGGCGTCTGCAGTGATGCGGACGCTGAGCCGATCTGTCGTGGGGAAGAGGGAGCTGAGCCAGAAAGCCAGGCTCTCGATTTACCGGTCGATCTACGTCCCAATCCTCACCTATGGTCATGAGCTTTGGGTATTGACCGAAAGAACGAGATCGCGGATACAAGCGGCCGAAATGAGTTTCCTCCTTAGGGTGGCCGGGCTCAGCCTTAGAGATAGGGTGAGGAGCTCGGACATTCGGGAGGGACTCGGAGTAGAACCGCTGCTCCTCCGGATCGAAAGGAGCCAGTTGAGGTGGTTTGGGCATCTGGTCAGGATGCCTCCTGGACGCCTCCCCGGGGAGGTGTTTCGGGCATGTCCTGCCGGCAGAAGGCCCCCGGGTCGACCCAGGACACGTTGGAGAGGTTACATCTCCAATCTGGTCCGGGAACGCCTTGGGGTCCTGCCGGAGGAGCTGGTGGACAAGGCCGGGGAGAGGACGGCCTGGAGCTCCCTAATTGGGATGCTGCCCCCGCGACCCGGACCCGGATAAGTGGAGGAAGACGAAGACGAAGACGAAGGTGCTATACCTTTCTCTTCAGCACAGCCGACAAAGGTTTAAAGGGGCATTAAGGAGTTTTGAATTTTTATGCTCGCGATTGCCCCCTCTGGCCAAAAGCGTAATGGCAGAGGCTCGTGCACGAGGCGCGCATGCTGTACTTGCACACTCCTTAACGAAAATAACAGCTGAGACAGTCCCGTGTGTGTGTGTGTGTGTGTGTGTGTGTGTGTGTGTGTGTGTGTGTGTGTGTGTGTGGCCCGGAGGACAGAGGACAGGAGAACGTGCAGCTAATTAATTAAATAATGTGGTTCTGTAGCTTTCTCTTCAGCACAGCTGACAAAGGTTTAAAGGGGCATTAAGGAGTTTTGAATTTTTATGCTCGCGATTGCCCCCTCTGGCCAAAAGCGTAATGGCAGAGGCTCGTGCACAAGGCGCGCATGCTGTACGTGCACACTCCTCAACGAAAATAACAGCTGAGACGAAGCTCTGTGAAGCTAGTAAGTAAGTAAGTAAAAGTTTATTTATATAGCGCCTTTCACAGATATAAATCACAAAGCGCTGTACAACATGATAAAGATCAGGGCAAATACCTCTAACCAATAAAAACATCAGAAAAACAATAGCAGTGATAAAATAGAAAATAAAATCATGAGTATAAAGAAAGTGAAGGTGTGAACCTGAACAAAGCCATCTTTTTGAGACATTTAGGGAGGGAACGCCTGGATGAAAAGGTGAGTTTTTAGATGATTTTTAAAGACCTCTACAGTGTTAGAGAGACGGAGATTTGAAGGTAGACTGTTCCAAAGTCTGGGTGCAATAGTCTGAAAGGCCCTGTCCCCTTTGGTTTTCAGTCTGGTTCGAGGAACAGCCAGGAGGTTTTCAGATGTGGATCTGAGGTTCCGAGAGGTGGTGTGTGGGGATAAAAGCTCAGATAGGTAGCTTGGAGCCTGGTTGTTAAGAGCTCTATAGGTCAGGACTAAAACTTTAAACTGTATTCTAAATTCTACCGGGAGCCAGTGGAGGGACTGTAAAACTGGGGTGATGTGAGCTCGTCTGCTGGATTTGGTTAGGATTCTGGCTGCTGCATTTTGGATGGCTTGAAGGCGTGAGAGGGAGGTTTTGCTGAGACCAGTAAAAAGAGCGTTACAGTAGTCTAAGCGTGATGACACAAAGGCATGGATTATTTTTTCCAGATCTGCAGTAGAAACCAGTTTACAGACTTTTGAAATGTTTCTCAGTTGGAAGAAACAAGAGTGGGAGACGGTTTTGACGTGTGAGTCTAAACTTAAAACCAGATCAAAAATAACTCCCAGGTTTCTAATGGTGGACTTGGCTGATGGGCAAAAGGAGGCAATTTCCTGCTCGATTTTTGGCTGAAGTTCCGGGGGTGCAGCGATCAGGGTCTCTGTCTTGTGAGCAGAACCAGGTGTCATCACAGGCTGCTGATCTAGCGTGATGTCTTTAATCATTTCACAGGTTATTTGCGCAGCTATGAGTGTCACGCTCATACAGACAACCCAGCAAACATTCGGACGTTTAATGGCCGTTGAAACAACGTCAAACCGACGCGTCCCGTCATGGTTGAAAAATTAAAATTGAACTGACGTCGTTTCTAGCCGTGACATCAGCGTCTTTCAGCGCGTCTCATTTGGACGTTTAATAATTAAAAAATTATGCTTATTATGACTGTATTAATGTAAAAAAAATCATTATTGTAAAAAATATCATTACTGAAAATTTTTTTTTTAAATTTTGTGCCACCGGAGGTGGAATCTGGCATTTTCCAACCTGTCAGGCGGTTTCCTAACCAGTTGAGCTCTTTGTTGTGTGTGTTGTCGCCCAGTGAGGTTACGTCTGATTCACAGCATGTTCTATTGTTTAACTACACGTAACAAATTGCCAAAACAGCGTAACCCTGGATAACTGTAGACATAAATGTATCTGAATGGATTCTTAGGAAATGTTCAGTTACTTATCTTTTACCAACTGAAGCCGTCCTACCAAGACCATTTCTGGCCGTGGACACCACGTTACCGTCAGACCAATATTTACTGGATGCTATACACGTAACTAATTGTCAAAATAACAATGATACATGTACATGTTGACATGTAAAAATATAAATGTAAAATGGATTTTTAGGGAAATTTCTGTTACACATATTTTGACAAATTTAAGATGTCCGAGCGTGACTATTTTTGGCCGTGGACACCACGTTGCCGTCGTGACAATGTTTGCTGGGAAGTGTTGCGTTTGACTGTCGATGCTCCTTGTTTTTATTTCTGCAGCGAGCCTTAAAAACTCACCTCACACCGCCCAGAGTTTCTTCTTTAAAACTCGCATTAAATAACGAGCTTCCTCCGCGCCGTATTTTTCGTTGTAGCATGAAAACTTTACATCAGTTGTCCCGGGGGGGGGGGGGGGGGGGGGGGGGGGGGGGAGCTCAGCAGACATGTTTGTTTACATTTTTGCCGCTGTGTGCCCGCACAGTGTGAGAGAAGGGAGGGAGGGGTGACGCTAAGTTCAGCGTCTCTACAGCCTCCAGCAGCGGCGACAGCCAGCTGGTTTGATCCGCTCTGAAAGGCCTTGATCAGAATTTGCAGATCACATATTTTTAAACGGATATCGAGCGCATGCATCCGCCATGCGTCACTCAATACACCGTCCATGCAGAAACTCGCCCAGGAAACTTTTAACTGCTGCACTTAAATCACTCAAATAAAAATTAATTTTTTAACGTGGACTGAACTGGTTCACCCCCCCCCCCCCCCCCCCCCAACCGTTACACTCCTAGTTCCTACCTATGCTCTTAAATCAAATCAAATCAACTTTATTTATAGAGCGCTTTCACATGGCCAGAATGGACAAACAAAGCGCTGTACATCAATAAAATGCCACACAATAGGACAGAGATATGACCATTAAAATACATTAAAAAATCCATTAAAATACATTAAAAAATCCCTGTAAAATACCGTAATAAATCCTATAAAAATACAATAAGAAATCCATTTTAAAATACAGTACAAAAACCTGAGTGCCAGTTCACATTCCATATCCGGCCTACTTCCCCCAACTTCAACGTCCAAAAGCCAGCGAGAACAGATGTGTTTTCAGTCTTCCTTTAAAGGTTTCTAATGACTTGGCCTGTTTTACATCGGCTGGCAGCTCATTCCAGAGACTTGGTCCAAGTACTGAAAAAGCTCGACTACCACGAGACTTCAGGCTGTACCTAGGCACAGTTAGTAATCTCTGGTCAGCTGACCTAAGGGAACGCACCGGGACATGCTGGTGGATGACATCGGAAAGATATTTAGGAGCCCCTGTGTTTAACGCCTTGAACACAAACAGGAGGACCTTAAACCTGATGCGATAAAAAACAGGGAGCCAATGCAAGGCACGTAGGACTGGTGTTATATGTTCAGACCTCCTGGTAGATGTTAACAACCGGGCTGCAGAGTTCTGAACCGCCTGGAGGCGTGCTACTGGAGCTTGTCTAAGCCCCGCATATAGCGAATTACAGTAATCCAGCCTGCAGGTAATAAAGGCATGGATTACAGTTTCCAAATGATTATGGGACAGAAATGGCTTAATTTTCGCAATGCGGCGTAGATGAAAAAAGCAAGATCTCACAACACTGTTCACCTGAGCATCAAATCTGAGATCTGCGTCCAGTTTTACCCCTAAGTTAGTGACCACCGCCTTTAAAATAGCATGATCTGGCTCCTTTAAGAAAAGGTAAAACTTTAAGTTCACTGTTGAATTTACTGAAAAGCTGTCAGATGTGTGTAATGAGGAGCGTTTCTGTCCACCTTATGTCTCATTTCACCCCCACCCCCTAAAAGAGGAGCGTTCCATTTTCATCAGCGTAGGTAATGACTCTAACTTAAAAAGTATTACTACTAGTTCATGAGTTTATTTGTGTGTGTGTGTGTGTGTGTGTGTGTGTGTGTGTGTGTGTGTGTGTGTGTATGTGTGCTCTGTCTTCTCCATCCCCAGTGAGTCATGGTGGATGGCTGCTTATACTTATCCAAGATCTTCTGGAGGTTTCTTCCCATTTAAAAGGAGTTTTCCTCTCCACTATCGCTGCATGCTTGCTTAGTATGAGGATTGCCTGCTGGTGGTGGTCGGAGGGACCGGTGGCGCCAGTGCTCGACAGCCTCGCCTCTGTCAGTGCGCCCCAGGGCAGCTGTGGCTACATCGTAGCTCATCCCCACCAGGGTGTGAATGTGTGTGTGAAGGGGTGAATGACTGATTGTGTTGTAAAGTGCCTTAGGGGGTTCCAGGACTCTAGAAGGCGCTATATCAAATACAGGCCGTTTACCATTGCTGGAATGACTCTGACACTAGTCAGTGACTCGATGCAACCTGCTGGGTTCCTTATATAGGAACTTTTCACTAATGATGCATGATGGCATCATTTGCTGCTGTGGCCCCCAGACTCTGGAACACTCCCCCTCAATCGAGATCGAGGGACTCGGTGGTCTCCTCCCTCACATTTTTTTAATCACAATTTTTATTTTTCCCAATTTTATATATTTAAATCTTTGTTTTTGTGAAGCGTCTAGTACTAATACTAGTACTAATACTGCGGAACATGCAGTAGCTCAGGAGGTAGAGCGGGTTGTCCAGTAATCGGAAGGTTGCAGGTTCGATCCCAGCTCTGACCAGAGAATGCTGCTGTTGTGTCCTTGGGCAAGACACTTAACCCATCTTGCCTGCTGGTGGTGGTCGGAGGGACCGGTGGTCTCGCCTCTGTCAATGCGCTGCAGGGCAGCTGTGGCTACATCGTAGCTCATCACCACCAGTGTGTGAATGGGTGAATGACTGATTGTGTTGTGAAGTGCCTTGGGAGGCTGAAGAACCCTAAGAAGGCGCTACATCAAATACAGACCATTTACTAAGGATGTCCCGATCAGATTTTTTTGCCCTCGAGTCCGAGTCATTTGATTTAGAGATTCTGCCGATACCGAGTCGCGATCCGATACTTTTGATACATTAACAAAAAAAAAAGAAAGAAAAGGAAGAAACAGTTCCAGAGTGTTCTATATTTTTTATTTAATTACCTTTTTATTTTAATTTTTAACAACAGATCATTTCTGTGAGGCAGCTTGACCAATCAAGTAATAAATAACATAAATTCTTCACTTTGGACTTTATTGCAAATATAAAAAGTCCAATATAGCAAAGTGTAGTCATCGTCGTGTAGCGGCGGCCTCTCTGGGGTGGACACAGACAGCACTGGGTTCCATTTTGGGGTCACTTCATTTAAAGTTGTTGTAGTGCTACAAAGCTTCACGTGGCGTTCCATTTGCTCCTTTTTCAGTAATGTTTTACAACAATATGGACAATGGTAATGAGCCAAACTTCTGCGAGGCATATTGCATCTGCAAATAATGTTTTCTGTAAGAAGAGAAAGAGAATTGCTTTAATTACTTAACAGAGCCACTATGTACAGCTTCAACACTTAAGTTAAAGTTCCATAGTCATCATCACACAGTAGCGAAATTCCCCATGGAGGGGAGCAGTGAGCCGCAGCTGTGGCCGCGCATCGGAGGCGATAGGCGTAATTTCAGCTGGCCAATCAGTCTGTAGTATCACCTCGGTCCCAGTCTGACCACTGGGGAGGAGGTCTGAAAAAAAAAAGAGTCGCCTCGGAACGTATATTGGACCTGTGTCTGAAACCAAACTCCGGTACCGTACAGTTCCTAAAGGAGCCGTACCGACGCTAATGTGTAAGCGCCATATTTAGAGATATTGAAAGCTAAGCTTGTCCAGAAAAAAAAAATCAATTTTAGGGTGCACAGGACCAGTTTCAGTGTGGACCAGATGCTGAAAAATAAATACATAAATCTGTCTTTTTTTGAAGTTTCACAAATCAGAGAAGTTCACAAATCACAATCTATGTTTTATGCATTCTGCTACGAGCCTAGAATAATCTAGAACAGGTGTGAAGAGTGTATGTGTTGTAGTTTTTGAGCTAGAGCAGATTAAAAATGGTCAGAGTAGAGAAAAACTGGGTGGATTAGCCCTTTAGCCATTTCCCGAATCAGAAGCTAACTTTAACCTCGTATGAAAACTAGTGTTACAAATTTCTGAAAATCTACGCTTTTTGATTAAAAAAAAGTGTATTAATAACGTTTCAGTCAAGTCAGTATTAGAATCATGGTCTTTATATCATATCTAAATTATATATAAAGTTAATATTATTACTTTAACTGTTTAACAAACAGGGAGACCAGAAAAATCAAATAGCTACGTTAAAGCTAAGCTACAATCGCTGATTGCTTTATTGATGTAGCTTTTGTGTTAGCTTGTGAACTCCCTGCATTAGTTTTAAGATAATGATACGGTTAGCTATGAAACACGGTGCCTTTGCAATAATTCTCTGGTAAAGTTTTAAATGCTTAAGTGCCCACATTTAAGAACGGTTACAACAATTAGTTAATTTCATCCTTACCTTTCGTCTTTGAAACCCGCCGAGTATGGTTGAAACAAAAGCGGCCGCCAAAAAAGACCAACTTCCGGCCAAGGTCTTTCGCTCGTCGATCTTCCGGTAAAAGTAATGAGCCGCCATCTTGTTCTCGCTAGAAAGTTCTTCCGGTGACACGCCAGCTGATGCCTGCAGCCAGGTCCTACTCGTTTAAACTGGATTCCAGGTGTTCCTGTCATTTCTCCACCCTGTAATTGCACATGTGTGTGTTTCTCCAGGACAAACAGCCGTACCAGGACCACAGGAGGCGTCAGAACCAAAAGAGGATCCAGGAGCTCCAGGAGCTGGTAAAGAAACAACGGCAGCAGGCGGACGCTCTGAAGCAGGAGATCTGCCTCCTGTCTTCTGCAGGAGGTCCGGTCTTACCCCCCCTTCAGAAGACACCTAACTCACCCATACCTCCTGCCCACGCCATAAGGAAAAATAAATAAGAGGGGGGGGGGGGGGGGTACATTTATGAATGCCCTGAAGCAACATGACAACATTTCGTAAATGATGCTTTAATGAAGTCGACACTAAAACAACACAGGACTGAAACACCAAAACAGTAGATAAAACAATACTGTTTTTGTTAATTTTGTTTCCAGTTTGGGGCGTTTGTGTTTTTGCACCATCTGTGGAGTTTTTCAGCCTGAAAAAAAGGTTTCATTTTGTTTCAATTAGAGGTTATCCTTTAACCAAGCCCAGGCATTTTGGTTTCTTTTGGCTTCATCTTCAATTTTTTTCTTTGTGATTTGCACCTTACAACAGCAGAATAAATGAATTCAAACAGACAAGTTTCGTCATTATATAATTAATTTTAAATCAACTTTAAATGTTTACTCAGTATATAACAAAATACATTGTATAAGTAACGTTCCCTTAATGTAAGACAGAGGTACATTATACATCTCCAAACAGTATGCTTAAAGTAAATAAAACCAGAGTTTAAAAAGCTAATTATAATAAATGAATAAGTTGAATAGCAGGGTGCACAAATCAGCTAATTTACTGTAAATAAAATTGTACAAATGTGTATTTGGTTGAGAGATACACCCCTATTCATTAATGCTATAAGACAAGGAGAATCATGTTGTACCATGAGCTCAAAGATAAACTTCTTCTACTCGGCCCTGTGCGCTTATGCAATGTGGGTAAAACAGCTGTACACTAAAATATTCCAGTTAAAGTTGTCAGATGCGTCCATTTTCTGTAAGCAAACAAACAAAAATTGGGATTTATTTGAGATTTAGTTTTCACGGGATCGAATGTGTCCAGAATATTATTGGAAACTGAATTATTGTCAGGTTTATTCAGATTTATAATGTAACTGTTTAACTTTAAAAGGGACATTTTACATAAAACTCACCTCTTTCACCCCTTTGTACTGCCACGTGGGTCTCTGCTGCCTCTATAAAATCTCAAAATGTAAAAATAACTTCATCCAATCATGTTTGGTTTTAGGAATTATGTGACTAAAACAACCGGTTTCCAAATGTCTCCGTTTGTGAAACACTGAAATTAGAACAGAAATGTTGACCTAGAATAGAACCGCCTCTCACGAGAAAGAAAGAGCTGCTGCTGATGGAGCAGCGGCTCAGGTCCTCCTGGAGAGCTTCTCAGCTCATAGCAGCCTGAGCAGGATGGGTGGGCGTGGTCAGCCCCAGCCTGTTTGTGTAAAGTGACAGAGCCCTGAAACGGCTCTCTCAAGGTAATGAAAATGTCAAGAATAAAACTACTGAAAGCGGTACATGATGTGAGAAAGGATTTATTGAAAAAAACTTCAAAAACATGTTTTGTATAGACCATAAAAATATTATAACTTGAGAAAAAAACGTGGCATCATAATCTTCCTAATCACTCCAAGTTGAGCTCCTTGATGTGGCTCACACTTTGTTGTCAGGGATGGACAGAATAAAGTCAGATTATCAGTAATCCAGTTATCTGATTTAATCTTCGATCAGATTTTACACCCGTAGAGAAAGTGAATCCTCGTTGACTAATTACAGCTATGGGGAATTTATGGGGAATTTTGGACTTTAACCCAAACAAAACCAAAATGAATATTTCTTTGACTGAGCATTAGTGTGTATGTGGTGGCACGTGACACAGCAGCGGCGGAGTAACCGGAAACAGTAAAATACACAACTGATGACGATCTGACTCCACCTCATGATGCCGTTTAGCAACAGATGAGCGACGCTGCATGTTCATTTTGTGCAGCCGCGGTCCGGCGTCGCTTTCGCGGGAGTGCACTGAAGGAGTGCCCTTTAGTTGTGTAATGTTTGCCGTGCTCGCGGCGCGTCCCTTCTCCTTTCTAGCTCCGTAGCTCCTTCCTCCTTCCTCCGAACACCGAGTGCTGTTCCTGGCTGTCCGGGCTCTCGTCGCTATGGATGTGCTGTGGATGGTGCCTCTGCTGCTGCTCCCACTCCTGATGTGGACAAGCAGCACCTTTGTTTTCTATTTCAAAAAGTTCTTCTACGTGGCCTGGATGATGGTCTTGGCCCTGGTGGGGATTCCCTTCTGCTTGCTGAAAAGCGGAGGCAGAGACATTGAAAACATGAGGTGAGTTGGAAATGTCTGACAGCTAGCGTTAGCATGTTAGCCGGAGCAGTTGTTTATAATTAACGTTCATGCCTGAGGTTTGCTGGCTGTTTCATTTCCTCCAGCAAACGGTTTGGTTTGAAAATTAAGAGAGTAAAACACAAAGAAGAGAGTAATACATTAAAACACGTCCATGGAAACACGAATACACGAGAAGGGACCTACATAAATCCCAGAAACAAATTTTTTTATCCTGCATATGCTACATTAGCTTCTTTGACACATTGGCACTGTATGGCAGACCGTTGTAGCATTTAATCCATGTTTTCTGACGTATAAAATTAGCCTTGATTAGAAATGTGTTTTTCTTTTAAATTTAAACCTAAATAACATTACTACTGGTAAATGTTATAATTAGGGAGACACGTTTGTGTGGAAATAATACATTATTTATTTCTTTAGCTCCCTGTGGCGTTTTTTAAAGAAGCTATCTGCAATCGTTATATTTGATGAATAATATTCATTTCTTGGGCAAAATAGTTTTCCAATAAATTTGAACGAGCTTTTCCTTTTTACCCATCTTCTCATGGCATTTGTGAAACGACAAATACATTTCTAATACATTCCATATAACTACAGTGAATTGATAAAACTGATAAATATGTGCTGATTGTCACTTTTCTCTACTGAAATAGTTCATACTAAACAGAATATTGCTTCACTTAGTTACACTATATTATATTTGCATTGTTCATTTCCGTCAAAATAAAATATTAGTGTTCACATTTTCATAGCTCGTTTTCAGAGGTAACTGCTGTATTCAGTAGCATCTGTTGGATGCTACTATAGGCCCTGAGGAAATGGCATCTTTGTACTCTGTCCTGGAGAAAATTAATTATTTTTTGCCTAAAGGACAATATGAGCTAATTGGTTAATGGCTGGTCAGATGAAAATGTAGTACACCTTTAGTGTCCACGTTCACAAGAGTGACTTCCTGTTGTTGTTGTGGTTTAATTGCATTAGCGATGATGGATGTTGTGCACAAAGAATCACAATCTAGTAATTACCCTGAAGAGATGGGTGCCAGATGGCAAGTTGCTCCTGATTTAGTTTTGGGTTACTGAATTGTTATGAGCTCCATCCCCCGTGCAGCTGATCTGCTGACAGCAGCCCCATCAGTCGGACCAGCAAACCTGACTGCTTCACAGTCCTGGGGTGGGGTGTCGTGTTGCACCAGTGTACCTTTCTGTCAGCTCAAAGGTTATCTGGACCTGTTGACTGTGAGAAAGCCACTCAACTGGGGTTATCCATCAAACGGGGAGTGAACAAAGTTTAACCGAAGCACTCTTACACCCTAGCCAGTCCCAGGAGATAAGGCCAGTGTTGCCTCAGGACAGACGAGTCGCAGACGTTTACTATTGCACAAAAGTCTGGATTCTTATTGCACTTCACGTCTGACTTTCAGTGCCAGCAGCGTTCATTCAGTAGGTGGACAGAAATAGGCTCAAGTGTTTTCAGTCAATAAAAGCATCAACGTTATAACTAATCATGCTCGTGTATTTGCTGTTTCTGAACAGTGCTTATTAGTACACGCCATCTTTTGTGTTTACACGGATGAATGATGCTTTAGGTTCAGGTCCAACTGACTTCGCTGGGTTAGAACAGAAGACCACAAGTTTAATTTTGTGGATCTATCATCACCAAAACACATAATTAAGCTTTGGCTCCGTGGGAAGAGCAGATAATGGCCATTGCCTTTATGTAAACTAGAAACCCCAAGCTACTCCCAACAAAATCTGCTACCCCTGGATCCACACGGAGGCTTCAGCAGCGTACAATGCTTTACTCGAGTCGCATGCTTCGCAGTGCGTTAGTTCACACCGGAGGAGTCTCGGACGTGGCGTGGCTTCTCCACCACTCTCCCCCCTAAATCTGTCAAAACTTCATAGGTTACAGTTTGTTTATGCCATCCACTATTGAACTAAAAAGGAGATCTCATTTATCATTTTGATGTAGTATGTAATGTTGCACCTCTCCACAACCAGGATTAAAGCCGTGAATAACATGGCGCTTCTCGAAAGACACTGGGAGTAAATGAGCCGTCAGGTCACATGTATTGATGTAATCTACATAGATAAGAAATTGCATTCCTATAATAGTCATTTATTTTGAAATTACCAGACGTATTACACTGAAACTGTGTGATTTCCTGTCTAGCCCTATGTTTTTGTGGTAATTGATGTGTCCCAGAAGCAGCTCGTGGCAAAAATAGAATACTGTCTTTAGCGGTGCAGCTCGCCACTTCTGGGATGCTCCTGAAATGTTCCGCGCTGTGGCCGGTGTGGATCAACCCTACAAACTCAGGATCGTTTGGCTGCCATGTTCCGTCCGAGAGAGCGAGGAAGGTGGTAGTAGTGCGCAGAACGTTTCGGTGTTGTGCATCGGCCACGGTAGCACGTGTGTGTGTGTGTGTGTGGTGGGGGGTTGATTTCATAACCTTGGCGCTAGAATTTCAGACGAGCCTATGTAAGGGAAACACTGGACTATAACGGATTCTATTTAAAGCAGCAACGTTCTGCTGATGCCTCCAGTGTGGATTTAGGGTTGGAAAAATTATTAACTTAAAATCCATCAATATAACCTTGAAACTCATTAAGAAAATGTTTTTAAAAGTAGGGCTGATTTGATAATGTAGAGAAAAATCACGATCATGTCGTCACCGACAATGACTGTAGAAAATATGGACAAACCCCCTACGCCGTCACCGGTAGATTTTTGAAGAGCTGAACTGAAGTCCATTGAGCGGTTCCAACCACCACCACCACCTTGTCTCACCACTTCCGGAAAATACAAAAATGGAACTGAGGGTGGGGGCAGATGGTTGACACCAAACCAACACCCTTATAGATTAGGAAGCTGCAAGATAACTGATGCTGACTTTTAGTTAAAAAAGTTATAATTTTAGTTTTTTTAACCAGGCTGTAAGCATGTTTATTTCTACTGTGAGGTTGGCATTTTTAATATGTGAGTCAATGAGAACTTGCACCTTTCTTTCCCTAGTGGATGGGGGTGGGTGCAATTTTGGTCACTTCTGTGTTGGCTTCACCTTTGGCAGGCAGAGTTTGCCCCTTGATCACTAATAAAGTCATGGTTGTTTTACACATTTACTCAGAGTTAGGAAACACTATCTAAAGTTCACATGGACTGATTTATGCTGCCCAGGGGTGAAATAAAATTATTACAGATGAAGGTTAGAAATCACATTGACTACGAAATTAAAATTAAAGCACCGTGAACGTTTGTTTTTACTTGTGCTGTCCTTTTAAAACACCACCACCAGACTTGAGTTTTAGTTGTGAGAAGCTTTAGGCTCCTCATAATTTGGTTTAATTACAATGCCATGCATTTTTAAAACTAATATTGATAAATCTCCATCTTTAAAGTATTGTAATGACCCAAAAGGCAAAATCTTTTTATTACAAAAAATCTATTTCTGTTTTTTTTTACCTCCAGAAGCAATGTTCTCATTTTGTATACATTATTTTGCTTTTAATGTTATTTAGAGCGTTCATAAAATCAAACAGGAAAGTGAAAATCTGTCAAACAACTTTGACTCTAGAAAAAAAGAAAAGTATAGAATAATTGGCTAGAAACTGCGTTTGTTGTTTGTTGTTGAGGCCGCTATGTTGACATGTGGACCATGAAATCTCAGGCTTGTGTGCGTGATATCGTTAACGCTTATCAGGCATATTTAGACTGTGGACTGCAGATTTGAGAGCAACTTTAGAAATTGCTGATGGGACATTTTTTTGTAGGAATTAAATACTCAAGTTTTACAAAACTTAAGATTTTTGTGTCAACAATGTGCAGCTGAACATCTCCCACGGCTTAGAGGAGGACTTAAATAGCAACCAGAACAGCTGGTGAAATTCTGGTGAACTGTACAAAAGTTGATTAAAGCAGTAGAGTTTTTTTATAGCAGTTAATTGTATTTTTTCTACTCAGATGTATTATTTTTTTACTGAACTGTCTGAAAACGTGGTGTTGTATAGGCTAATTCTGTTGAAACATAAAACCTTCGTGAGTGAAGCTGTGGCTTTGCCCCGAACACACATCTGACCTTTAGCTTGTGAATGCTCAATAAGCCCTGGTACATTGTTTATTGGGTTGTTAATTCTGTGAATCACAGGTCAAGCTCACCTTTTATCTGTGACTGACCTGAGAGTTGCCTAAAAGGGATCACGCTTTGGACTTCAACGGAGCTTCCTTGCAGACTGGTTTTAAAGTGAACCCGAGTAAAAGCCTGGTGGATTGGTCATAAAGTGAATCTTAAGAGTTGCTTCCAAGTGGCTTTTGCTCTTGTCTGAGTCATCATGGCTGTTGTGTTGGACTGTGGTGTAAAGGTTAACCATGTCTTCATATCATCTTGTAGTCAGGGATGTTCTGATCATGTATTTTTTTGCTCCCCGATCCAAGTTGGAGTAATTTGATTTTAAGAGTCTGCCGATACCGACTCGAGTCCTGATCAAAAAAAGGAGAACACATCAGAGTTGTCCTTTAAGTTTTAATAATTTAAGTTTCTTTTTTTTTCTTTCTGTTTTTATGTAATTTCTTTAGACGATCTGCCATAAAACTTTACCTGTTCAGGAAGTACAAAAAACGTGTTAATGTAAGAATTTATGTAAAAGTAGCCTTGTCGCTCACATTACTAATAATTTACTCAGAGTGTGCGGCTGTTTTGAGATAGGCGTTCCTGCTACAGGGATGGCACAGCAGGATGGTCAGCAGCAGGGTCACTCCTTTCTACTAAACACCTGTAGTGCTGCTGCGTCTGTAAAGTTAGGAAGAGAAAGCAGACCATACCGCGACCCAAGGAGACTGCAAAACCCGACATTTGCAACCACAGTCGGCCATCTAGTGGGATAAATATACTGCTGTCTTGGCCCTTTTGCTGTCCGTAGACAATTTCTTGCTTTTTATTTTTAGTGTCAGCTGTGTGTGTTTACTTCACACTTGCATAT